GATGGACAACAGATGCTACTATGGTCTAAGAAAGCAGTTTAGACACAAGGCCACCTCCCGCCAGACCAAACTCACACTTTACAAGACGCTGATACTACCCTTGCTATTATATGGATCGGAAGCATGGGTACTTGCGCAAGCAGATGAGGCAGCTCTTGGGGTGTTTGAAACAAAAATTCTCCGAAAGATCTACAGGCCGATCTGCGTCGACGGTGAATATCGATGTCGAATGAACCACGAGTTTTACAATTTATATGCGGACATCGACATATTCAGTCGTATTGAGCTGCAGCGACTACGGTGGCTAGGCCATGTTGTGCGAATGAATGAAAGTGCCCCAGCTCAAAAGGCATATAAAAGCGAGCCTACTGATGGTTCCCGTAGCAAGGGAAGGTCACGAATTAGATGAAAAGGCCAAGTAGAAAACAACATCTTGGAACGTGGTCTTCCAAATTAGTGGAGATGGCCACAAGACCGACGCGCTTGGAAATGTTTTGAAACTCGGCTTATGGAACAACCGTTCTGTAACAAGACAGCCTATGAATGAAAAAAAAAAACAATAGAGGCGTGGATTTTTTAAATAATATTTTTAAAGTTTTAAATAATATTATTCAAGCGCCAATACAAGCGTTGATTTTCTTTGTACAAAAAATATTCTCAAAATATGGTGGGGTATGAATATAAAATTCATATTGTTATATAACGTATACGCCGGAACTTAATACACCTATAGTAACCATGAGCCCTTTCTGTTGAAAAAAATCCACCCATGTATTCCCTTTTTCGCTTTGATATTGTCACCAATTTCATCTTTGATTTTATGCTGTATAACAACAACCACTAACTGACTTTTTATACATTTGGACGACATATTCATTTCGACATGCACTCGTCCATGCCGAATGTGATTTTTGCAGATACCAGGACGACCAAACGGTGTCACGATTACCACTGCTACCCGAATTGGATATGTGATGCAGGACTCATGCAGCAGCCCTAGCCGCTGTTGCATTCCAACGGAAATCTATGAAATTGTTGTGGCTTTGCCACATCAGAGAAGCCCCCAAAGGAAATAGATATCTACAATTCCACTGTTTATTATGTGGTCTCTGTACAGGGTAAGAAAGAGAGAGAGTTCTGGCGATGTCGGTGACTGTGTGACTTACAACCCGATGATCCTTTATGGTATGACAATTCATTTTGTTGGTGGTGTCCAGGGTTTTTTTTGTATTGTCGGTTTGGTTTATCCGTTGTTCCGGGTGCTGCTGTGATTTTCCTCCGCCCTGCAGAGTTTGGTTTGTGTGTTTCTTCTCTATTCCGATATGTGTACATATATTTCTTTTATTTTTTACAGGTTTCTTTATTTGTTTGTCAGCATGTTTAGATTTTTCATCGTCAGGTACTGCTGCATGAGTCTGCTGCACACAAACTATCAAAGTGACAGACTTGAGGTGAGAAATAAAGAAAATAATTATTTCCGTTACAGTTAGATGGCAGAAGATTTGTTGATTCTATTTTCGATCAATAAATTGTTAAGAACATAAATTGCAATTGAATTAATTTTTGGTGATACATTGCAAAAAACATTGGTCCTTACAAATTTTTATTTAAAAAATCCTGGAAAAAAATATTGTTTAAAAAATCCACGCCTGTGATGGTCCAGAAAAAGTATTATTTAAAAAATGAACGTCTGTGATACTTACTTAGTTGGCCGTAAGCCGAGCTTAAAAAGATTTCCAGGCGTGTCGTGACCTAACCAACGTATTCGCTGCAGCTCAATATGTCTAACAATGCCGATGTCCGCCGTTATTGCCAGACCCACATTGGTAGACTTCTTCTCAATTTGTTCAAAGGTGGCTGTTACCACTCTCAATGTTCAACCCATTATGTCGGTCATCGGCGTAGCCGAGTAACTGGTGTTGTTTGGTGTACAGAGTGTCATTTCTGTTCACCTTTGCCTCTCGTATGACCTTGTCCAGTCGAATGTTGGTCACACGACAAACTGTCACCTTATCTGAATAATCGTCCGGTATTAAAGGGTTCCGAGAAGTCCTTTCCGACTTTAACTGCTGATATTGTGCCAGTTAAAGTTATCCTGCATAGCCGAATTAATTTTGCCAAACGCAGACATGGCTTTAAACTCCTCTGAACGGATTGGGCTATCGAATGCGGTTTTATAGTCGTCGAATAGGTGGAATGTGCCGATGGGTTTTTCGTGGTTTTTCCAGGATTTGAGGCAAAGTGAAAATCTGGTCGATGGTGGACTTGCCGGGTATAGTTTATTATTCTTCAGCCGATTGATTGATATGCTGACCTCATCTTTGCTAGGTTGTATACACTCTACACCGTCATCTCTTATTGGTTCTGGGGTATCCCCTTATACTATTTGATACCAGATACTCAACACTCTGTCTGATCTGTCACCAGGATTCCTTCTTCATCTCTACAGGAGGATGTGCCTGCACCAAAGCCTTCGGTGTTTTACTCGTTGGTAAAATTTTCGGACTTCATTCTGACTCCTGTACATATCGATTTGTTTACACTCACGTTTTTCTTGTTCTTTTTTCTGAAAACACGTTTCTCCTTTTCTCCCGATAATTCTCCATCACATTACGTGTTGTTACTGCCTGCAGGGTTGGCCTATACGCTGCGTTTTTCACATCAGTAGCATTACGACACTCCTGATCGTACCATGGATTTCTTGATGGTGGTTTTTGGTACCCAAGTGTTGCTTTTGCTGCAGTTTGTAGGGAGTGGGTAACTCTTTGCCATTGTGCTTCTATACTATTATCGGGACAAGAAGTGCTTTCGTTAAGCAGGTGGGTAAGTTGAGCGGAGTAGGCCTCTGCTACCTGTTGTGTTTGCAGCTTTTCGACGTCGAGTTTCCGTGTTACATTAGATCGCACCTTTGCTGCTATATTAAGACGAATGCGAACCTTGGCTGTCACAAGGTAATGGTCCCAATCGATATTCGCACCTCGTATCGATCGAACGTCTAAAACACTGGACGAATGCCTTCCGTCTATCACAAAATGTTCAATTTGATTTCCCGTTGCTTGATCAGGAGAAATCCAAGTGGCCTTGTGTATATCGATATGCTTGAATCTGGTGCTGCTAACTACCATGTTTTTTGCTGCCACGAAGAGTTCTGAATTTTCCGACAGTGGGACCAAAAATATTTTCCCTTCCGATTTTTGCATTAAAATTTCCTAGCATTTTGGCCAGGGCAGCCAAAATGTCTTTGGTCTGTTCATCTTTGTCTTCCGTCGGAGCATGGGCTCCAATAAGACTGATGTAGAAGAACTTCGCTTTTATACGGATTATAGCAATTCGCTCATCTACTGGAGTGAATCTGGAGACGAGGTCTTTTATTCTCCTATTAACCATAAATCCGCAGAAAATTCACGTCTCGTTTCATGGCAGCTATAATACAGGGCGTAATCATCTGATTTACTTACGCCAGTCCCTTTCCATCGCATTTCCTGTAAGGCAATAATATCGGATTTGTACTTCTCGAGTACATCCGCCAAAGGCGAAAACTGCTCCTATTTTGTACAACGTGCGCACATTCCAAGTGCAGATTCGCAGATCGTGGTCTTTATACGTTTGCGGGGGTCGTCAACGTTAGAGGGGTTTGGTTTTCTTTTTTATAATAGGTTGGGTTTTCCGAGTGTGGGCAACTAACCTGACGCCTCAACCCATTGTTTATAGTTCTTATGGGTGAACTCGCGGCACATATTGGCTCACTATTTAATCGGGTGATGAAAATAGCTACCCCAGGTGGCACCACGGGGAGGTCAGTGTCCACAATTGAGATGAAAGAGGGCTTCGCCATGTTAAAGCCAATCAGAACCGTAGCTTGAAAAAGTATTCTTAAAAAAGTCCACGCCTTGTGTTGGTCCTTGAAAAAATATTATTTAAAAAAATACACCCATGTAATGATAGAGGTGGCGTATTAGTATTTTATTCTTTTTATTAGTATTACTCATACGCTAGAATGCCAATCGCAAATTAATTGACCTTCAAAATAATAGATATAAAATTGAATGTAGCCAATTAGTTCGCCATATACACCAAATGTTAACCTTTTAATTACCCATCTGCCAGCCCCCTCAACAATTATTACAACTCCAAGATTGTAATTGATTGTTTGAGTCATTCATGAAATTAACTCACATTTAACATTCGAAGTGAAGAGGAGAATCAGAACACAAAAAGAAAAACAATAAATTCCTGTTTTTATCTTAATTCCCTAGCTTCTGCTTCGAACGAATGGCTGACTTGCGACCTACCAAAAAGATGTATCGCAATACTTAATCTTGATATTTGCTCCTACTTGTAGTGTTTTTTGTTGCCCTCGCCATCATCCTTGTGAGGGGTAGGGTATAGGGGCCCAGAAACACATTGTTGCGCAGAAAGATTTTTTATATTTTTCCCGAAAGGAAACACTTTTGGTTTTAATTTAAAATATTAAAATTCACTGCTTTATTTGTTGCTCCGTATGCCGGTTAAAAGTCAACTAAAAAACATAATTGCATTCCCTTCTTGTAGGGCCACAGACAAAACAGAAGAAACAAAACGAAATTGAAACAAAAATAATAAGCGATCAAAACAAAACAAACGACAGTTATTAATAAATATGTTACATACATACATATAAAACTGTCAACAATGCAGCCAACGACTGATCACTGCATTGTTGTTGTTTTGTGTTGACGACGATGAAATAGGAAAGCAGTAACAAGCAAATATTCAAACAATATTTGAATATTGTTGTTGTTGCTTTCCTAACAAGACGAACGACAAAAAAGGGCGACACAAAAGGGAACGCAAAACACATTAGAGTGGGCCGATTATTAAAATGAACAAACGACATTAAGGTGGGCCGAACAAAATGTGAAATTAAAATAAATTAATTAAAATGGAAAACAATACAATAAACGTAAAAACATATACATTGATCTCCTCCAACATCCTCCCCCCGTTGAAATGCCAAAATTTCAAGGATCTTCAGGGCTTGGTAAAGGGGCTATTTTATGGATTGGGCGACACGATATTCCATTTTTAGTTTTCAACTCGACCACTCGGACCTTTCCATCACGACCGGGTATTGTTTTTGTAATTCTCGCCAAGAGCCACTGCTGAGGGGGTGTGTTGTCCTCGTGTATGATGACCAATTGTCCTTCATTAATATTCTTCTCGTCGGTGAACCACTTTGACCGTTGCTGGAGAGACAGAAGGTAATCCCTGGACCACATTTGCCAAAATTGTTGTTTCAGGTACGAAATACGTTGCCATCTGTTTAGCAACGAGGGTTTGGTCACATCAAGATCTTGCTCAGGTATTGCCACCAAAGATGAGCCAATAAGGAGATGACCTGGTGTTAACGCCTCGCCGTCGTTGGGATCGTCTGACATGGGAGCAATTGGACGAGAGTTCAATATTGCCTCTATTTCGACTACCAGTGTCTGTAACTCTTCAAATGTAAGATACGACTCCATTATGTTCTTGTTGAGCAACGTTTTTGTAGATTTTACCGCTGCTTCCCACAATCCACCGAAGTGTGGGGCACGTGGAGGTATGAAATTGAATTCAAGACCCATTTGGCAGCAAATCGATTTCATTCTTTGGACAACTTCATCATTAAAAAATGCTTCTCTGAGCTCTTTCAGTTTGTTACAAGCTCCGACGAAATTAGTTGCGTTGTCGCAAAAAAGCTTCTGGGGAATTCCACGTCTTCCCACGAACCGTTTGAGACACAATATAAAGTTGTTTGCTGACAAATCCGATACGAGTTCCAAATGGGTAGCTTTGGAACTGAAGCAAACGAAAACTGCTATGTAAGTTTTGTAGGGCGACTTCCCTCGAATCCTGTATGACGTCATGAAAGGGCCACAAAAGTCAACTCCAGTTACCAAGAATGGACGTTGAGCTCGAAGACGATCAACTGGCAAATTTCCCATTATTTGCCCCAACAACTTTGGCTTGTAGTGAAAACAATGCACGCAATTTCGAACAATCTTTCGAACTACTTCTCTGGCATTGATTATCCAGATTTTCTGACGTAAAATGCCCAACAACACCTTTGGACCGGCGTGCAAATGAATTCGATGCAAATGCTCTACAAACAGCTTGACGAATCGATGGTCTTTGGGCAACAAGGCAGGAAATCTTGCATCATATGGAATCGGAGCATTTGTTAAACGTCCGCCAACTCGAAGAGTATTAATCTCTTCATTTCCTACTTTCATTTTGTGCAAAAATGGTATTAATTTTTGCAGAGATGGATGAGCGACGTTACCATTTGCAATTGCTTGTATGTCCGATGAGTAACATGACCGCTGGACCAGTGAGATGACCTTCCAAAAGGTGTCTTCAAGTTCCTTAGGAGCTATGTGAACAACATCTTTGACTTTCAAAGAACGACTTATGGGACACCTGTTGAAAATACGAAAAACATAAGCGATTATTCGAATAAATTTATAATGTGAAGATTGCTTATCCAGAATGTCATTAATGACATTGTTTTCACAGGCTGTGTTTTTAAAGACGGCGGCCTTTCTGCGTTCTGGGACTTCAATTGTCATCACGTCTTCAGTACCTGGCCAATTTGAGACATCTTCTTCTAGAAACGATGGGCCACGAAACCAGATGGTATTCGACAATTCTTGAGCACAACAACCACGAGATACGATATCAGCTGGGTTACTTTTCGTTGGGACATGTCTCCAAATGATGTTTCGAGTTTCTTCTTGGAGTTCAGAGACACGATTTGCCACGAAACAATTCAAAGTTGACGAATGCATTTTGAGCCATTGGAGTACTATTTTCGAATCAGTCCAAAAGTACAACGATGAGACGAAATTTTCAATTTTAGACTTGATTTTGAGCCACGTTTTACTGAGTAACACTGCAGCACACAATTCGAGACGAGGTAGAGATTGGGCTTTGATAGGAGCTACTTTCGATTTGGCAATCAGCAATGTGGTTTTGTACATACCATTTTCTGAGACACGATAATAAATACAACAACCATATGCACGTTGAGAAGCATCTGCGAAACCATGTATTTCGCCATGTCGATTGGACAACGTAAGTACATATCTTGGGACTTCTACTTGATGGATGTACGATAAATCTTCTTTGATTTGGAGCCACAAAGCCTTGAGATGATCGTTTAGAGGATCATCCCATCCAATATTTTGAACCCATAATTCTTGAAGAAGAATTTTGCAACGAATAACGATTGGGCTCAAAATTCCAAGCAAATCGTAGATTTTGGATACGATCGACAAAATTGATCTTTTAGTTGGATTTGTGACATCGGGCAACTCGAATCTATAAAGGAAAACATCTTGCTGAGGTTTCCAGGACATACCTAATGTTTTAGTTATGTCGTTATCCGATGTTTTTATGATGATTTCTTCAACATCATTCGAAGTGAGCGACGCATGGTTGCTATTCCACTTTGCCAATTCTATACCATGCCATTTCAATATTTGGATCAACTCGTCTCTTTTAAGAGCCAGAGTCTCAATGCTATCGGCGCCTGTAAGTACGTCATCGACGTAAAGATCTTGTCGTAAGACCTCCGAACCATGGGGATAAGAATCTTTGTATTTATCTGCAATGAGAAACAAACTACGAATTGCCAAAAATGGGGCGGCCGATAAGCCATAAGTTACTGTGTTCAATTTGAATACCTTGAGTTCATCATTTTTGTTACTTCTCCACAATACGAGTTGATATCTTCTATCTCTTTCATGTACGCGAAACTGCCGATACATTTTTGAAATATCTGCAGTGAGAGCGTATTTGTGCAATCGAAACGAGAAAAGTGTGGTGATCAGATCCTGCTGAATTGTTGGACCGACCATCAATATATCATTCAAGGAATGATTCGACGAGCTACGAGCTGATGCATCAAATACGACACGAATTTTTGTAGTAGCACTTTGGGGCTTGAGAACACAATGATGAGGTATAATATAGTGCGAATCATTCAACGATTGGGTGT